GTAAGGAGAAATTATTGTAGGCAAATACAACAAATTTAATGAGCTGTATGTCTGGAGCTTTGTAAGTAAGAACAGTATTTGTATTTTCAAGTTTGCAATGAATCAGCCTGGGCACAGATGGAGAAGTTGTACACTAGCTCAAGAATCTTGCCCTACTGGCCATCTTCTGTGTTGAGTCCCAGATCTTGTTCCCATGCTTCCCTAGTTTGAGTGGGTTCATGGCGCCACAAATATAAATCAAATGGGTCATGCCTTGATCCTTGGTTCATGCCCCACCCCTCCTCAAAATTTCATGGAAGTCGGTTGAGTTGTTTTTGCGTAATCCTGCTAACAGACAAACTAATGACTAGAACTGGCACTCAGAAGAGCAAATATCTCTGCCGAGCCGGAGTTGCCTTAAACTGAATCAAGCCGCACCAATTTGGACACAGTCACAGATATCAGCCTCATGATATACCATCATTTTCATCAAGACCTTAAACCTTATAACATCACACGAATCATAAAACATTGGGTGAGGAAATAAAGTTTAAAATGTAAATGTTAAGTTTGTGAATATTTGTAAAAGATGTCTCTTTGATGAAAGATGACATATACATGCTGTTGATTACTATATCTGTGATCACTGTAAGCAGTTTTCCACTGTATTAGCATTTAGAGTGGGGAGTGATATCCAATCTCAAGTGGTCACAGGAAACACATCCAGACTGGATGTTAACACCAGGTTCGAACAGCACATTTATCTTCTGTGGGCATCTTGATAATAAATAATACAATAATAACCTAAAGAAGAAAGACTGAGCCAGACACAGATGTCCAAATGTACTTATTTCAATCTATATCAAAATATTTCAGATATGGTCTTAACAGTTTAAGTTGAAAAAACATATATATATATATATATATATATATATATATATGTGAATTTCCTTACATATTAATCACAGCACAAAGATTGCAAGGGTTTTGTGGATGACAGATAAATCATTTGTCTTGCTCCAGATTCAGTGCTTGCGTAACCTCAGTGTCAGTGACCCAGTATATGCCCTGAATGTTGTAACCTTAGAATCAACAAAAGCTGCCTTGAAAAAAATCTAAAGCCACTTATTTCTTGGAAATATAATACAATTCTATTCAGGGGCTGTGGATGTATAAATTCTTTACACAGATTGTCACTTTGTTCATGTTTCTTTTTGATTTCATTGCCCTGGCTGCAGCACAGATGAAAACGGTGGCAGCCGAACGCCTAAAGCCAAAACATTCAGTGAAGTGTGTGTATGCCTAACTGGTAAAATGCTGTATTTTTTGTGCCCATAATTTGGACGCCTGACTTCATCTTGAGCCACGGCCTCCTATGAATCAGAACTAGAAAAAAATAGAAGAAAGACAAGTTTAAAGTTGACTTCAGTTGGCAACAGAGCAGAGTTTTGCTGTGATGAGGAACATTTTCTCAACCCCTGTCTAGCTGTTGTTAGGCGTCACTGTAAATGTACTCATCTACACTACCCCAGTGATTTGAAACATGTTTGAAATTTAGGGCCCAAGCAACGACATCGTGAATGCCCGATAAATCGTGTATCATCCATTTTTTTCTTACTCTGGATTCATTAGAAATTCATTAGAAAGATTTGAAAAAAGTAATTTGGTTATTCATTTATGAATCTGATACCAAAAGACAAATGACGGTTTGTTTTTCATAGTTTGGATTATTTGCTCAAATTAAAAATAGGGAATGAAAAAACGGGTCATGGGCCGCCCTTGATTTTGATATTTAATTTTTAGAGTATCAGCTTAGATAACTCATCTGGCCTGCCAGTAACACACCTGACCCGATTTTCCTTCCACCACCCTCCCTTATCTAATATATGGATCCGATCCCAGCCCGCTCCAGTTCTGTGTCTGATACATGTCTTTTTTGCTTGTAACAGAATCTTCTAACTCATTTCGGAGCATCGCTGCACAGTGTTGTGCCAGTTCACACAGAACTAGTTCAAGGTTCAGTTCATGCAGATGAAAATGAACTAGTTCACGGTCATAGTGTTCACGGTTACAAAAATAATCCAGTTCACGTTCATTTGTTCCATTTTTTTATTGGGATGATTTAGATGACAAATTTACGATCATGTGTTTAGTTATTAATCAATGGTTTCGGATCATGAATCTGTGTAGTTCCGCTCACTTTAACACTGAGTCCTGACTGTGCGTCATGTCTCGTGTTGTGCTGAGCACAAAATATTGATGAGTCAATTTTCCTGATGATTAAATGAGCCTCATAAACTCAGGAGCGAATCAGACAAACACTGTTACTTCATGTACTGATCTGGGGTCTCATTTTTAACCGTTGGTACAAAACGGGGCCCCAAACTTGCGTATGCCACTTCTGGCTGATGTTAACATTGGTGTATTGTTTAGCAGTTCATAAGCTATGCTATCTTGTGCTGGTGTGTGTTGTTAAAGCTAATAGGCTAAAGCTGTGCAGTCGTGCTGTGCCTCCTGTGAAGTGACTTGTTTATGTTATATGATTTATATGATATATTTGATGACTTGATACCGTCCTGTGTAACTTTAGTTAATTCAATCATGTTTTGTGTTTAAAGTTTGGTGTTTGTTATAACTGATGGATACCTTGTATTGCTATTGCAGACCACAGTCAAGTAAAATGAACCTGAAACAGGACATCTGTATCCGTGTTCACTCTCACTCACTGTATTAACAGCAGCAGCGTATCAGTGTATTTTCTTTATTAGTGACGTCACTCAGTCAGTAAAAAAATCTCTCTTCACCTCCCTAACCAACACCTCGATCTCAGTGTCAGGAAGTTTCACTTCCACTTCTCCTTACTTGATGCCATGACTCTGTCGTGACTCAGTGTGAAGACCCATTGGTCAGCAGTAGAATTCAATACTCATGAGGTGCTTTGCATTGACCATTTATACCTGAATCAATAATGAAATAATGACTTGTTTTTTTATTTCCCAATTTTGTTTTTGTTAATTGAATATGAAAAGAAGAAGAAGAAGGATTGATACACAGATTTCCAGCAAATAGGAATGCTTTTCATTGGATTATTCAGGCAAATAATAATGCTTTTCAAATTTTAAATAAATAACTATAAGCAAAATGACCACATCGAAAGCTAGCAAGGTTGAAGGATATGAAGTTCTTGACGGTGTAGAGGTTGGCAAAATTCACACTTATGCAACATTAACTAAGACGTGTTTTAAAGAAAAAACATTTATTATGAAAAAAATAAAAGTATAAACACACAAACTAACAAAAGGTGTACTTCCTATTTACAGATGTGTATCTATTCAAAATGGCGGCTGGCCACTTTGAAGACAAAAGGCCCCCCCGGAGTGGTGGGGCCATGTGGCTGAGATCACATGTAGCTATGTGTTAAGTTTGTGGAGATGAGTGTGTGACATATTACCAAATATCACATCAACACAAGTCAAACTTATAAACATCACATGGAATAGAAATAGGATTAAACAGTCCTTTGCTTAGCCTAGCGTAATAATAAGCCCAGTTGTGTTACCTGTCCATGAAAAGAGGGAAAGGTCCTTTTTGGATGTGCTGTTTGAAGTCCAGTGAAGTGGTCTTGTTGGTTTGTGGCTCCTGTTGATCATCTGCTGGTCAGACCTTGTGTCATGGCCAGTTGTGCTGAAGTTCTTAGGCAGGCTCTCGCGTCGCTGCCTTTGGAAGGTTTTAGCAGTCTGCTCCAGGCAGGCCTGCTTGAAGTTGAGGAGCTTGTGTATAGAGGAAGTCTTCCTGGCTGGGAGAGTAGGAGCAGTACCTACTCCTCCAAGAACGGTCAGCAGGAGAAAAAATGGAGGAGAGGGGAAACTCTGCTTTTTATTGGACTTGTGACCTCATGGGTCATGGGGCACACAGTGACCAACAGTGGTTGAGAGTTGTCTCCGCGAGCAGTTTTGCCACCTATGTTTGAAGATGAAGCACCCTGGGAGACTGAGTTCTGGAAGCTCTCCTTTGTCTTCAGACCAACGGTCAGGCTTTTGGGTACACATGTAGGCCCAACTATGGTTCACAGATACTAGGTCCCAACACTTAAAATCACAGCACCCCCTGGTGGCAACAGGAAATGTCTTGTTTTTTGCATGTCTTGTTTTTTTGAAAGTCTTACACTTTGATGTACTACTCCTTGTCCATTGACCACAACTATACAATATTCTGAGAAGGGCCTCAAGGCATGGATGATAAAGCCTTATGGAAACCGTGAGTTTTCCTCGAACACCATAATGGGGAGTGGTGTAACATTTCAACAAGTCGCCGTGACAAGTGAAATTGCTGTAACTTCAGTGTACATTGTTCAATCTCCCTCAAAGTACGTGTGGAACAACAGTACCCTGCCTAAGTACATTCTTTTTAAGGAATGGGTGCGGCAAAATAGCTAAATAGCGCACCCTACAGAGTAGGGCTGCAACTAACAACTATTTTAATAGTCGACTAGTCACTGACTATTGAAACGATTCGTCGACTAATCGAATAATTATTATTTTTTCTTAAATTTAGCATGAAGTTGCTTTAATTATGTGGCAAATGATAATTAACACAAGAAAGATGGGTACTTCAATGAAAAATGCATCTTTTATTCAACTTTGCTGCTGATTCATACAAAAAGTAAATAAAAATGTCCTATCTAAAACCAATTAGGCACAGTGCTCAGTCAGTATAGATATAAATCCATAAATAAATAAACCTCTGTCCATTTTTTAAAGACAGGCAAATGTGTTTTATAAAAAATAAATAATTAATTAAAATTAAGTAAACATTTTTTCCTGTAAACCAAGGACAGGGACATTAGCAGCAGTAAAACAGTAAATAAAACAAATATTAAGCGCGTTTTGTGAAGTACATTCAGTGGTCAACTGTACAGTCTGTTGCAAAAGAACTTTACAATTCAAGTTGTAAACATGGACTGTGTGATACAACCTGGACACAAACCTGTCATGGTGGACAGACCAGGTTTAAAATGTGGCTCAGGCTATGTCATTCAGTTTATTCATACTAAGAAAAGTCAGCATATCCACATGCTCTCGTGTGAGGCTTGCTCTCTTCTGMGAGCAGATATTTCCTGCTGCTGAGAAGATTCGCTCTGCCAGGGTGGATGTTGCAGGAATGCACAGAAGAGATCTTGCTAGGTTTGACAGTGTGGGAAAACGCCCCTCATTTTCTCTCCACCAGCTGAGAGGGTCATCCTTTTTGGCTATTGGTGCCTCTGTGAAGAACKTCTGAACTMCCCTCCTRACCATTTGGATTTTTTTGTCCTCCTGGGTTTCCTCCTCTTCGTCACTCAGACTGTCAGTGTCAGACTGAAGAAGGTTATCCAGCGCTGACTTTGCCCCTGGGACATTACCCCTCCTCTTCTGCTCTAGCTCAGGGTCATCATATATCCCAGTCTCGGCCTTTGCTTCTTTTATGGCAAGAACCTCAACTGTACTTTGCACCCTTGTGCCATCTTCAGGTGAGATAAACTTCATCTTTCTGAATCTTGGATCAATGGCAGCTGCAAGAACAASTGGGTTGTCTCTCTCTGCAGACACAGTGTTAAGATTCTCCCATCTCTCACTTATTCCTTTTCCTGCAATGGCTAGAAAGGCTTTTCCTGAGCTCGTCTCAAACTGGGTTTGCTGTATGGACCGTTGCAGCCCTTTGACCAGCTGTGGAAGACATGAAGCAGTAGCATACTCCTYTCCACTGAGGAAAACGGTAGCACATTRAAAAGSCCCCAACCCTTGCACCAGCTCTTCAAGTAGCACCCACTGCTCTGGTTTCAGGTCAAAGTAGTGCTTGCCTCTTGGTGTTACCTCAGGGTCAGAGAGAGTTGCAGTGACTGGCCAGCGCTGCTCCAGGAGTCTCTCCACCATGTAATAAGTACTATTCCATCGTGTACTGACGTCCWGGATCAGCTTGTGCTCTGCGGTGTTKATTTGCTGCTGCTTCTTCTTCAGTTTTGAATTTGCCAGCTCACTTCTCCTAAAGTGCTCCACTAAGCTTCTTGCAGCACCAGTAGCTTTGTTGATGCTGGGCTCTTTGAGGGCACTGTTGACGACAAGTTGGAGGGTGTGCCCAGCACAGCGGACTGAAGACCAACCATGTTTTTCTTCCAGGAGTTGAGCTGCCGCCACCATGTTAGACCTGTTGTCGTGTACTATTGCTTTAATTTTGCTAGGCAAGATGTCAAATTTCTCTATCACCTCTTCCATCCATATCATGATGTTCGCAGCAGTATGCCTCTCCTCCAGAGGTAGAGTGGCGAGGTTCAAAGTCTTCATTTGCCAGTCTTTGGTGATGAAGTGACACGAAACTCCAAGATATGCCTCTGTGTATTTTAAACAATTACCTTCAGAAACGTTGTACTGTATTTCTGCTCCATCAAGTGGGTGAAATGGGTTCTGGATGGCAGGATGTAGTCTGGGTTGAACTGGTCTATCATCTGTTGAAACCCGGCACCATCGACCACGGAAAGCGGCCTCATATCATAGATCAGCATCTGCAATACTGACTCAGTGAGGGCAGTCGCCCGTTGCGGGGTGCACATCTGCCTCTTTTGCAGAAAGGGATCCATGGTGGCCCTCTTCTTCGGACTGCATGCATTTAATTTAAAATACGGTTGTCAGGCGTAACGTTAAAGCTCTCTTTTAAAGTGAAAAAAATGCTTATAAAATGTACAATGTACATCAAAAATAAAACGTGTATTGGCTTGAATGTTACTTGAATCTTACCGAGGCGAGTCAGACTCCGTTTCGTTCATCTGCCCGACGTGCTTTCTCTTTAAATGTTCGTGCATCACGGAGGTGCTGCCGTGATACGCAAGGTCTGCCTTACAAACCTTGCAAGTTATCTTTTTATTCGCCGTATCCAGGCTAAAATGCTCCCAAACTTTAGATGTTTTGGTACGCGTAGCTACTGTGTTGGACGCCGCCATTTCTGTGTACGTGATGCTATGTGTGACTCTCGGCAGAGAGTGTAATTAAATGAGATGCCTCACTCTGTTGGAAAAACACGTCTGGCAAATATAGTCGACAATGGAATTCATTGTCGACTATTTCTATTATCGATTTTTGTCGACAACGTCGACGAATCGTTGCATCCCTACCACAGAGCAGCCCCGGTACCACGACTGATCGACATTTACAAAAATCATTAGGTACATGTGATTACAGAAAAAACCTGTTAGCCATTGAATTAAGTGTCATCCTAACTCCATGGAGATTAAAACTACCTCAAATAGTTACTGTACGGTCTGACCATGGCATTGTGTCAAAGTTTGATGACTCGCCAAAAAAGTGGGATTTATTATAACTCCTCTGTGCATTGTCCAATCACCCCAAACCTCTTTCACATGAATACAGTCCAGCCCTGATCAGATCCATATGTCAATATTGGCTCATCATCACAGGGCCACCTGCTGGTGACAGGAAGTGACATGTTTTATTATTTAATGTACTGCTCCTGGCTGCTTTACAATATACAGCTCAAATGAGCTTAGACAAGCTACAAAAATATGGTTGTAATTTCCTCAAACTGTGTAAACGTTGAGGTGCAGCAAAGGTTGATCCTTCATCAAAGGGGACAAAGTTGTAATCTACTTTGTTGTTCTTCTTCTAGGGTTCCTCATCCAACATCAACATTTTCACTCTATTAAAGGGTTATTTGCTATTTAAACGGTTATTTACCCTCCCCCTTCTTCGGTTTATTGGCAGATTTGTCTTTGTTTCGTTTATCCTACAGTCCTATGGATCAAAGATTTTTGGTCAAGGTTTATGATGTCACAGCTCTTTGGATCAAAGATTTCTAGGTCAAGGTCTATAATGTCACAGCTCTTTGGATCAAAGATTTCTAGGTCAAGGTCTATGAGGTCACAACTCTTTGGATCAAAGATTTCTAGGTCAAGGTCTATGAGGTCAAAGCTCTTTGATTCACAATTATTTATCTCCGTGATGTCGATAATCTTAAAGCTCTGAAACACAAATGTCATTAACCCTAAAATGATGGAAACACCTAATGAACGCCGCTTGGCGGGACAATTCTGCGATGCTATCCTGCAAGTTGAAGATGTTCAGTTCCCAATCCACAGAATCATCCTTTGTGATTGCGGCCCTTTCTTCCAGTAAGCTAGTTATCTGACCATAGTGGGGAGAATAGCAATCGTATTGATTAAATGTTTATATTTTTAACCACAATAATAATTTCCCTTTCCAGTTTGTCCCTTCTGCTTGAGAAGGGCCAACAGTAGCCTTTATTATTTTTTGTCCGTGTGAAAAAGGTTAAGTATCTTTTTTAAATCCTCTGCTTTGTCTCCTTTCTAATCATCAGAGCTCTTTTTCAACACCAGGTGACCACAGAAAAGGTTTTCCACATAACCCATGTGTCTCCTGACATTATGCAGATCATCATTGATTTTGCATACACCGACTCTCTTGCTGTTACGAAGGACAATGTGCAGGAGTTGATAGTCACAGCTGATATGTTCAACATAACGAGCATCATAGAAGCATGTTCCAAATTTATCTGTGAGCACCTTTGCCCACAGAACTGCATCTGCATCTGGCAATTCACAGATATCTACCCCTTCTCCGACCTGCGGCGCAAGGCCTTCCACTACATCATGAGGCACTTTGAGGGGGTGGTTAACTGTGAAGAATACCTGCAGCTCTCTTTGCAGGAGCTCACAGAAATTCTTGGCAAAGATGAAGTCAACGTGAGGAATGAGAGGACTTTGTTTGACGTCATCCTGCGCTGGATCACACACATACCCAAAGAACGAGAACAACACATGGCTGTGCTTCTGTCTAAGGTAATATATTTTTAAGCCACAAGTCTAGATTTACTGGACATCTCCAGCATGTCTCCTAGGTGCTTTAACACCTGGAGCTTGGTTCATTTAGGAAAAACGCTGTTGCTTTTAGTTCTGATTCAGTTTCAGTTGACATGCACCTATTATCAACAAGTTCTGTTCCCTTGTCCCTTTGTAGGTGCGACTGGGCAGGACAAGCATTGAGTACATAGAAAACAATGTGATGACCAATGAGCTGGTGAAGTTCAACCCTGAGTGCCTGGAAATAGTCAACCGTTCCTTCAAAATATTGTGGTCCTTCACCACACACATACACAAACCCTTTAAATCATGTTTGAGAGACACTCCCGCCCGTCCTCGTCTGCCTGATTCCATCATCATGGTCTCTGGAGGCAAGAATTTCAGTACTGTCTCTTGCGGTATTGAGATGTACGATCCCCTTGTGGATCGCTGGATCATCAGCAGAGACAAGCTGAAGGATCCTCGGGCCCATCACGGGACCGTCTTCCTTGATGGTTATGTCTACTTTGTTGGAGGCTCCGACCTTTTGGAGATCTTAAACAGCGTGGTCAGGTTGGACCTGAGGACACACACCTGGCAAGAGGTGATGTACATGCACTACCGACGTAGCCGCGTGAGCGTAACCAAGCTTAATGGGTTCATCTATGCCTTTGGAGGCACTGATGGTTATATATGGCTCAACACTGCAGAGCGCTACTGCCCCAAAAGCAACCAGTGGACACTTATTGCACCCATGATCCTGGGAAGGAGGAGTGCAAGCTGCGCAACACTGGATGGCAAGGTTTGTTATGTACGGAAATAATAATAAGTAATAATATTCATATAATCCTGAGTTATTTGTGTAGGAAACACAGTTTAGCAGTTAAAACCAAGAAAAGACCAGGGTATTCACTGCTGCTCCATCTATTTCAGATATATGTTTGTGGTGGTTTGATCAGGCATTATAGCACGAAGACGGCTGAATGTTATGATCCAGAGACCGACCAGTGGACAATGATCGGCCGTATGAACATCAGTCGAAGACAACACAGAGTTGTTGCATATAAAAACCAAATCTTTGCAGTAAGTAGACGTAGCACTGCTGACATCAACCCATAACTCAAACAGACTTGACTGACAGTGCTACACCAACAGGGACTTGAATTTATAGTCAGAGTTATATCCTAACCACAGCCGCATGTTCCTTTTTTCATTAGTTTAAATTATTTAATGATATTGCTTGGTCATTTAGTGGTGCAAATGTAACCGCGAAATGTGGTGTATCTGAACGTCTGCACAAAATTCCATCCGATCGCTGATGAGATACATTGTGCCCGAGAGAAAAGAGACGAAAATCTGGACATTCTTATCCACCAGTCAAACTAATCTAATCGCCTTACAATTTATTCTTCTGAACTATTCACAGAGCAGCCTTAGAATTGAGCTTTAGATCATTTTTTATCACAAGAGTAAGACAACTATTCATAACACACAAATGTGTGTCACTTTGAACCATTGACTATTTGTGTCACTTTGAACCATTGAATATTTGTGTCACTTTGAACCATTGTATATTTGTACAGACAAAGACATAGCAGTGTAAACAAAATAAGTTTGTTTACAATGATTACACAAACTTCTTTTGTGTAAACAGAAACAAGTATCTGGCTCAACCCTACTATATTCTGTGCATTCTGTGTAATGTATATTTTTTTTATCCATTCAAAGCATTGACACAAATCTTTTCCTCCTCCAGGTCGGTGGCATAAGGGGTGTACACCCTCTACAAAGCATTGAGACCTATGAGCCCCAGACCGACACCTGGATCTTGCTGTGCCCCATGATGATCTCACGAAGGAACTTTTGCCTTGAGGTGATAGACGACAAGTTCTATGTCGTTGGGGGCTCCAATGTCAGGAAAAGAAGTTATCACGCAGAAGTCTATGATCCCGAAACCGACATTTGGAGTTCCATCTCTGACTCAAAGACGTCCTACGACGGCATGAGCTCTTGTGTTGTGTCCGGAATCCCCAACATGGTTGACTTTGCTTTCCCTCGAGACTCTCTGCCACTTTTCGAAAAGTCAGAGAAGGTGTGACTAATACATCTTTTGACACGTTAAATATAGTCTATGGTGCATATTATACCTGTTAAAATTCATGTCTCACAGACGGTTGATCTGAGAAGTTTGGAGCCACTGCAGGAAGATGCTTTAGACACAAATATTTTTTACAAATAGCCTCCATACTGTCCCTGGTTTTGGGATGTCATAAGACAGTCTCCCCTTCTGAAGAAGATAAAAACGAAAAATAGGCAATCTGTTACAATACTTAAGTGTAACAGTTTGTGTGTGTCTCAACAGCTGTCCCATCACTTTAATACCAAATAAAATCACAAGATGGACTCCATGACAACTGCTCAAAAGTGAAGCCAAAGTGTCTTATTGCCACCTGGTGACTGGCTGCAAGGTGTATGTTTTTCTTCTTCTCATTTAATAGGGCCTGAGCCCCAACAGTGCGAAGGCCCTATTGCTTTTTCTTTTGATTATTCAGTAAAATGTATTGCATTTTTTCAAGGTGCATTACCTCCATCCACTGTGTGTTTTAATATCCTACTTCTTCTTTTTCCCCATTCTGTACTATTAATCTTATCACCCTTGATATTTGATAGCTTCTCCTTCTTCTTTGTTTGGTGTAGTGGTGAGTGGCCTCTATCTCCCTCATCCAACATCATCCCTCTATTAAAGGGTTATTTACCTTCCCTCTTCTTCTTCCTTGTTCGTTTTATTGGCAGCTTTTTCTTTGTTTCGTTTATCCCACAGTCCCTTCGATCAAATGATTCCAGGTCCAGATCTATGATGTCACAGCTCTTTGATTCACAATTATTTTATCTCAGTGATAATCTTAAAGCTCTGAAACACAAATTCATTAACCCCAAAATGATGGAAACACCTAATGAACAATGCTTGGTGGGAAAATTCTGCAATGCTATCTTGCAAATTGAGGATGTTCCGTTCCCAATCCACAGAATCACCCTCTGTGATTGCAGCCCTTACTTCCAGTAAGCTGATTACCTGACCTTAGTGGGGAGAATAGTAATCTCATTGATCAATGTTTAAATTTCTGCACTACAACTACTACTACTAAAATTAACCACAATAATAATAATTTCCCTTTGTCTGTTCTGCTTGAGAAGGGCTAAGAGTAGTCTTCATTATTTTTGTGAAAAGGTTAAATATCTTTTTTAAATCCTCTGCTTTGTCTCCTCTAATCATCAGAGCTCTTTTTAGACACCAGATGACCACAGACAAGGTTTTCCACATAACCCATGTGTCTCCTGACATTATGCAGATCATCATTGATTTTGCATACACCGACTCTCTTGCTGCCACGAAGGACAATGTGCAGGAGTTGATAGTCACAGCTGATATGTTCAACATAACGAGCATCATAGAAGCATGTTCCAAATTTATCTGTGAGCACCTTTGCCCACAGAACTGCATCTGCATCTGGCAATTCACAGATATCTACCCCTTCTCCGAGCTGCGATGCAAGGCCTTCCACTACATCATGAAGCACTTTGAGGGAGTGGTGAAGAATACCTGCAGCTCTCTTTGCAGGAGCTCACAGAAATTCTTGGCAAAGATGAAGTCAACGTGAGGAATGCGAGGACTTTGTTTGACGTCACCCTGCGCTGGATCACACACATACCCAAAGAACGAGAACAACACATGGCTGTGCTTCTGTCAAAGGTAATATATTTTTAAGCCACAAGTCTAGATTTACTGAAACAAAATGAGCAGTTCAAATGGCATTAAAAAAATAAATAACTGCATCTTCTCATTGCAAACTTAGCTTAGCGATTAGCATGAGCTGAGCACAAACAATGTCTTTTGTCAAACAATAAACTACGGTATAAAGTGCACAAAAATCATTGGAAAACATAGGAAAGCATCTTATGGCATATTCTAAGCACCGTACCCCAACTTCAACCAAGTTAACGGCACAATAAATTAATGTTTTCTTCTGAGCAGGTATCGAACTGCAGGGTAACTGCACCTAACTGCTGCTCCCTCTCTTTCAGATATACATTTGCGCTGGTCTGTGTAGGCGTTAATGGCACGAAGAAGGCTGAATGTTATGATCCAGAGACCAACCAGTGGACAATGAACATCAGTCGAAGTCAACACTGTTGAAATTCATGTCTCAGAGATGGTTGATCTGAGAAGTTTGGAGCCTCTGCAGGAAGTTGCTTTGGATAAAGATGTTTCATGTTTTTTACAAATAGCCTCCATCCTGTCCCTGGTTTTAGGATGTCATGAGACAGTCTCCCTTCTCAAGAAGATAAAAACAAACGTAACTATTTTAACACAAGTCTACGGAGCCCGTCTGGTGACATGGGTGGAAAAAAAATAATTCTGTTGCCACAAATTAATAATGCGTCGAAATGAGATCCTATCCCGTGGCCACGACTTGTTTAATGCGTGGGATCGAGTTGATTATTAGGTGGCCACGAATTAATATTAATTAATAAGACGCATTATGAAATCTATAACTTCCCCGAGGTCAGCATATTGTTTACGTTTGAGCCCATGCTTTTAACGCCGGCGGAAGTAATGAGGGCGTGATGTCTTCAGGACATTTATTTTCGTTCTTTTTACCACAAACAAACTTTGTGAACTCCTGCACACAGAGACGTATCTCAACTCTCCTTTCGCCCTCCGTTCCACACACACACATACCGGCCCTGCCACACCCACCAATCAACGGCGCGCATACTCAGCATTTTCAACATGCACTTCCCTGATTGGCCGAGAGACAGACAGCCAGTCCAACTGGATAGCAGGGTCGCTACACTATCATTATAATTCATCCCTAGATTACAATGAAACGTAATCAGATCAAACTTGTCCATGTTTGCAGCTGAAGCTACTGATGCCAGAAAGTCAACAGTCTCACTGATGAAATCACAAACATTTCTCGTGGCCACCTGATAATCAACTCGTTCCCACGCATTAAACAAGTCGTGGCCACAGGATAGGATAGGTATCTCTGACCCCATGAACTGCAACAGAACAACTATTATTGATATTATTATTAACAACAATACTTATTAGTAATGAATTATTATAGGAATTGTTGCCACTATCATTAATAATAAATAAACATTTATCATTTTCATTATAACTAGTCAGAGCTGATACCTGATGGTGCACAAGTGTTCTTGGTCTCTCTCGCCTCTCTCTCCCCCTGTCCACTATCTCTTTCTCTTCTCTACCCTCTTTTCCACCCATCTCCCCTGTCCTCCCCATTTTTCTCTGCTCACCCTAACCGGTTGAGGCAGATGACCGCCCACATTGAGCCTGGTTCTCCCTGTTAATGAGGGAGTTTGTCTTCTTCACAGTCATCAAAGTGCTGCTCATTGTGGGAAATGTTGGGTCTCGCTATATGAATACGATTTTAAGGTCTTGACCTCCTGTAGATTCTAAAGTGCCTTGAGATAATGTATGTTATGATTTGGCGCTATACAAATAAAATTGAAGTGGATTAAATATTACTGTGTGTGTGTCTCAATGGCTGTCCCATCACTTTGACGGTGCTCAAAAGTGAAGCAACTGGGTGACTGGCTGCAAGGTGTATGTTTTTCTTCTTCTCCCATTCTCTTCTTCTACTCCCGCTATAGCTTTTCATTCAGGCGAAATTCAGGCAAATTAATTCTATTTTTGATGGCTTGAATGTTCTCGAACATTTGTCAAGTCTTGTACGATTCTGAGGTAATTGGAAATAGTTGTGGCAAAATAGCTCAAAAGTGCATCCTAAAACATAGCAATTCCACCTGCTTTAACCTATCTTCATGTAATTCGCTACACTTGTGTATCACTACCACTAATTTGATTGACACATTAGGAAGTTGGCCACTACGCCTAGAGGTTTCATCAGATCGATTTAAAAACTAGTGAGTGTCATCTTAACAACAAGGGGATTAAACTCAAATTGTGAGTTTTCGTCACACAATGTGTGTAGTGTGGCTCGACCAAACGGGTAGTCGGCCATTTTGAACAATTTACTATTTTGTATTTGAACAAACTCCTCCTAGAGCTTTTATTAGATCAACTTTAAATTCCGTGAGTGTCATCTGAACTCCATGCTCAGACAAGCTATAAGAACATGGTCAGGATTGTGACATTTTTTCAAACTGTAAACACTGACATTGTTTATCCTTCCTGCGGTGTACAGAACACATGCAACATGGAGCCGTTTTGCCCCATCTCCGTCTGCATTTTAGGAAGTTCTTGATACTGATGCATACTTAAGTTTTCACTTCTCCAGTAACTTTGGTTTTAATTAGTTATTCCATGCAAAAAATTAAGAAAAGAAAGAATCGTGATTGACAGCTGAGACTGACTCACCATTGGTCGAATCATCTGGCTTTCATCAGGGCTCCATCCCCCAATCACTATTGTTGTGCTAGTTCTAAATGTGCAAGATGGCGATGTCCCTATCTGGGATATTTTGGCTTAATTTCTGGATAGTGGGAAGAAATATGCATCATATATCTTTATATAAATGTGAGAGATAAAATTGATTCATGTTACAGTATTTTATTGTGGCCTATTACAAAAAATCACACAAAGTTCAGTCTCCAACTAGCAAATCCAGTGCTCTAATCCAAGCCCATCAGTGTTCAAATAGCATTTGCCATGCTAGCATAGCATAATGAATTACCCCTTTTCTTCTGTCGGTGATCCGAACCTTAAAAACTGGAAAGGGTTTCATTTTGTTTGTTCCAAGATTTATGCAGCTTTTTCAGGGTGAAGTCTGGATTATCTAGACTGAGAGGAATGGCATGACTGAAAAGACATCTGAATTTTTGGGTTGAAGGAGAAATCTTAGAGAATTATATCTTACAACCTGGAGTAATAAAACCAAACAACAACCCTTTTAGGTAAAACCATTAAAACTTTAATCACTTCTCTTCCACTGACATTTAAAAGTGCAGTAATCAGATTGCAGCTGATCGTGAAAGTTCAAGGACAAAAAGGGGCAAAACACTTTTTGATTAAGAGCCTGAAATCCAAGAATGAACTCCAGAGGATATTTTTTAAGCAGGTTACACCCGAAAAAGAAGTGTCAACATAAATGTGTAAGTTTAGAGATATAACAGAAAAGTCCTGTTTTAAAACAACAACCTGGTGTGTGTTGAATTTAAGGGCTCATCACACACACTCAGTAGACTTACCTGGTTGGGGTCAAGTGGTCAGGTTTTATTTTCTAATTTCTTAGTTTGAGTTTTTTAGCTTTAAATTCTGTACTTAGCCATTCAACAAAATTAATCCTCAAAAACCTTATCAGTTTTCACCC